TACCAGTATCTCCATATTTTTCGGATATTAAATGGCAAGTATAGTACTGATAGTCTTAAGAAGTCTCTTGCCATATTGTGTAATATCAGTAGTCCCTTCTCTGTGACAGAATATTTCTTGACAATGGAAAAGAAGCAATCCTTGGAAGAAAATTGTAGATTTGAAGGATTTTCTGTCTACACTGTCCAGGACCAAGCAGTCTGTAAGATTCGCCATGGATATTCATCACAATTTGCCTTAATTTCTTAATTTCTTGACTTTCCATGTTTGTGGGCGGGATGGGGGGAGTGGGGGTGAGTGTGTGTTTATGAGCATATGTGCAAAAGGTGAGACTTCAATAATTGTTTTATTGAGAAGGTGGGATGACTGTTTTACCCTATGGGATACTCTCTTGCTATGTACACATGCCAGAAATCCTGGTGAATTTCTCAAAGTCATATATTTTTTTCAACAATATAAAATAAGTAAAATTGTCTACAACACACTGGTTTTCATATTTGCTTTGGGACTGGCTTTGAGACCCTGGCATAGAAATACACAATAAACAAAAGGATGCGTTGATGAAAGGAACTAATATGGTCACATTCCTTGGCAGTCTAGCTGTTATTGGACACAGCTGTGTAGTGGTACAAGCTCCATAGGGCAATCATGTGCTTCAGTGCTAAGGTTTTAGAAAGACTAAATTGTGAATAATGCCACATCTGTGTTCCCATTATCTTTGTTGCGAATTAAGCAACTGTAAAGATCATCCAGTAGTGAGTTGCGTGTACTGTGAAATGCAAGTGGTTTAACCAAAACCAGAACAGAATAAAGCTATGCATGCAAAATAAACTTCTAAGTGATTAAGAAGACAACAAGTGTTGTCTACTTGTGATGTAATGTTGTTTTCTTTTTAATAAAGAAAACAAAACCACATCACAAGTAGACAACATGCCTGTGAGAAAAAAAGTGCATTTCATGACTGAATAACAAAGACATGCTTATCACTCTTAATTCAGCATGCACACGCTGAGGTGCCATGCAGAAAGACAGACATGCAAGAATACAGTTTTAGAAGTTGCAAAACACAAAAGACATTTCATCAGAACAGCTCCTTGATCTGCCAGACTAGTGACTGGCAAGCATTGCAGGGAAAGCAGAGGAAGAGTAGGAAAACAGGTTTATGGCACAGGGGGAATAAAATAGAGTAGATCCAGTTAACTTAGAGAATCATGTGCTCTATGCTGAAAGAGTGACCAATTAGTGCCCCTGAAATCCCTCCACATGGGTGAGGATTTCAAAATCTCTAACATCAAAAAATAGTTATGAAAATAATTTAAAATTTTTACTAAAATAGAATCCTTACTTCTACCAATAAAAAATAAACTATGAATAAGAACATTTGAAATACTATTGAGGACAAAATACAGGAATATCAAACAAATTATCAAATACATGAAATAGACTATATTGATTAAACTGTATGTCAGTGACCTTCTATGTCAAAAATGCTGTCTTGACCTGAAGAAATACCAGTATAAAAATAAAGATACCAGTCAGAACTAATCTTAAATAATCAAACTTTCCACCTAAGGTTTTAATCTTTATAAGAAAAACTTGGAAAACTAATCCTGAAAGAAATACATATTAATTCTTCCTTCACAGGCAGACAAAAGGAGTGCAACGCTGTTTGGGCAGAGTGATTTGGTAATGCTGAAACACTGCCTTGGCTGAGCAACTGTAGTCCAGGGATAAATAGGACGAGAAAATCTATGAAAGGTGGTTCAGCAGTTCCTCTGAGAAATTGCCACTTATCACGAGAATGTTAGACAGAAGGTAAAAAATATTTTAAGGCCCATTTCTTAAGGGATAAAATCAGAAAGCAGTTTTTTATACTGTATGCAGTAGGCCTCAAGTGGTGAAACCTATAAATGTATCAGTAGAACCCAGCTGGTCACTGTTGCAGTCATGATATTCATGGAAAGGACTTCCGGATTAGAAAAAACGAGTTTATGGCTAAAACGCCACTATCATCGTAAATAGCTGAGAGCCTCAAATACTTCTCTTTCATAAAAATTAAAATATATGTCTTAGAAGTTATTTAATATTGATACAATTATTGTGGTTGAAAGGAGGACATCCATGAAATTTGTCACTATTAACGACAAATACTAACCAGCGAAACAAGAAAACCATCTAATACTTCATGAAGCATCTTGGTAAAAATTCTTCTTTATATGGCTTCCTTAAATTCCCTGTGTACATTTCATTCATTTTTTATAGCTAAGACTGCAGTGTCATGATGAAACTTTGAGCAGGTGGAGAATATTTCAGCTTCATTTGTTAAAATCAACATAAGAGCATTAACTGATCTCCAAAAGATTGATGTGACTGACAAAATGCATTATCTCATATATTTTAAGAAGAGTATTTATTAATGAAACTTAAGGAACTGAGCTTTACTTTTAATGTTAATTGTTTGAGCACTATAAAATGCCATATTAAGTAAATTACATTTCTATAAAATCTTTCTTAAAATGGATAGGAAAAAAGCCCCTTAATCTTAGAATAACGTATATGATTTTTTATTACAGAAACATTACAAAAGTATTTTGTAAGAAAAAATTCTGAATGATAGTACTAATAATGACATTATAAATTTTGCCTAAGTAATCAGAAATTGATATTTATTGCAACCAATCACAGAAAATACCAATATGTCTATGCAAAGGAATTTTCTATGAAATTTTTTTTTTCCTTCGAAAATGGTAATGTTGAGATTGATAGAAATTATTCCTTGTTTGAAAGAATTGCACTGTCAAGGGGCCTGTAATTTAATTTCTCAGCTGATTTGCACTCAGAATTCTTTGTTTGGACAAAGTTCTTTACCATAAAATATATAGACAGATAAAAGGATAAAATATACCAGATTGTAAATCTTTTTGGATATTAAGGTTGTTATTAAAGGGTGTTTTCCCCATATTTATCTATTCAGTAAAATGAATTACAGTATTCTGTTCACAAAAGGACAGTGTAAAATGAACATTTTGCCTGAGAAAGACAGTAATAAATGAATCAAGTACTGTTTGGTGGCACTCTTCTCAATGATTTCCATAAATCAAGGTTGATCATACCTGACCTTTACTTTGCTTCTCAGAAACACTGAGTAGTGTTTCTGGATCCTGGATGTTCTAGCCTTGCCCTTCACAGCTGGTGGGTTGACTAAAGCTTGTTTTGAAGGCAATGCTTTTTTTTTCCCCCTCCCACAAAAACGCATTTGGCTTCAGCACAACAACCATCTGCAGCATTTAAGTTCAGGGCTCTACAAGTGACTTGAGAGGTCAAAAAGCAGTCACTTTATAGGCAGAGCCCCAGGTGGACTTTGGGAGGGTATTAAGGGGTAGTCCTTTTCCACTTCACCTAAAAATTAGATTATTTAGGTTACTTTAAGATGTATTTCCACTTTTTGGAGCCTAAACCTGTCACCCTGGTTTTTCATTCACTTGTAAGGCCATCTGATCTTTAATCTGTGGTTTCTTACCACAAGTCTGTCATAGCACACTGGTATGACACAAGACAAACACTGGAAGGGAAGAGTCATGTCCTTTATCTTCTGAAATTCAAGTCACTACAGACTTCATTCTCTATTTCACCGCTCCCCTTCATGGTTTTCCTTGTTTCCCTGTAGCTGGAAAAGTCAAAACTGAAAAAAACCAAACTGTCCCTTCCTACAGCATGTCTTGGCCTCAGGAGAGGGTCACACAGGCCAGGGAGCGTCCTGGGACAAAAGGGCTTTTTTGCTGCTGCTTGTAAATGTCAGGAGAACTGTAAAAAGATCTTGAAGATCTCCATGAAAGTACTTCCTATGTGAATTGTTGATGGAACTGCTGTGTAAATCCAGAAGCTAGATCCTTCACATTGGTACAGGGTGTTTTTTTTAAACCAAAGCATGATTGAGTCTCCGGAAATTTTGGCTAATCATTCTCCCATTCTGAGCCCAAAGCAGCCCCTCTGTTTATAATTGGTTGTCTTTAGAAGTCCTAGAGGAGATGCAGTATTTTGTTCTCTTTTAATGGAACCCTCTCCATACTGAATCCCAAGCTTGTTCATTTTCTCTCTACAAAATCTGTGTCCTCCCTCTCCCCTTTGTGAGAGTCTTTCTTTCATGGCTACATCCTTAGGACTTCCCAGTTCTGTCTGAGCCTGGGCATGTCAAGAGAGGATGTAAGCCACAAGGCAGAGATAAGAAAAAGACCAACCAATTCAGAAGTGTACCAGTGGAGAGCTTGTTGAGCAAATAACTGAACAAACAAAGCTGATAAGGTTTAGTGTCCTTAAATATTCTCTCCTTAACTCTTTTCATGAATATTATTGCTTTTCATTCCTAGGGTTATGTCTCTTTACACTATGTCTAGACTTCAGCAGGAAGACTATTTATTAAATAAGGTCAGTGTCGACTGACTTAATATTATGAGACGATGCTCAGTCATCATCAGTAGCTCTAGCTGCTTTTTTCAGTGAGGAATTAAGTGTCTGTGTTAGAACAGATTAGCATGGAGATGTGGGAAGAGAGAAGATAAAGCACAGAAGTGGTGGATCAGCTAAGGTATTTTATATACTAACAACAATGGAAGTTCTATTTTTGAAGCATTTTGGAGTTAAGCCTTGCTATTTGTGGAGAAAAAAAAGAACCAATAACCCAATAATAAGCTAATAACGATAAGCTCCTTCCTCCTGAGTCTCAGCCAAAAGAAGCATGGAAAATTTCAGCAATTTCTACAGCCTTCATTGACTCTGCTTTTAACATAACCTTGATTTTAATTCATGCATAGTAGACAGAAAATTAGAAGCTTTAAGAAAACAGCCATTAGCACTTATGCTTTATTAAAACTATTTGCACACTCTTTGTTCCTCTTGTGAGACTTTTCAATAATAAAACACCACACTTTTAATACATAAAGGAGCAAAACCTTGCAGGGAAACAGAGTATTAGAACAGAGTTCAATGATATAGGAAAATACCTGGATAAAACTCCCCTTGTGCAAACATGTCAATCACATAGCGACAGAATGCATATTGATCTACCAGAGCAAAAAGGAAGAGAAGAGTAATGAAGAAAGTAAATTTAGAATGTCATTTGTATTTAACAGTGAGGATAAAGTGTGGCAGTGCAAAGACATCTCAGTAGCCTTTTCATAGGTAGTCTTACTTATTATATATTTGTGGTTTTTTTTCCTGACTTTCAAGCAGTTCATGTTTAGAAAGTGACAATTTGTTGTCCAGATCTAATTCAAAACCTCTAACCAAGAACTGCAGAACTTCCAGTGTCCCAGAGCTACCACCTCTTTTGCTGGGCCAGATTTTCTTGGCATATATCCTAACCCCATGCACAAATACAAGACAAACTGCAGCCTGGCTACAGGTCTTATAGACTTTTCATCATCCATGAAGATCAATTTCACAGACAGCTGATAAAAATTTTTAAAAAAGGTTTTGTATCACTGTATTTTGTTAATACGTTATTACCTGTATAATAAATATGTATATTTATTGGATGGTCAAATAAAGAGAACTTTGTGTAGTTACACTCATATAGAAATAAGATTTTCCACAGAATTCTACTGTTTCACTACAGAATCATTTTCCAAACAGTAATCTTTACAAATACATATGTATATATTAAATTTTTGTGTATATATATATATTTTTTTTTTTAAACTACACTAATTCAGAAATTAAAGCTTCTGAATCTAAATAAAATGCTGATTCCAGAAGTGTTGATTGTCTATTGATTTCTCCTATACATAAGCAGAGCTGGAGAGCTTAATAAAAATTTCTAATATTAAGAATGGTGGGGAAAAGTTATCAGCTTCAACTGAGAACAGAAGAATTTCAATATTGCTGTATTCTTCATCAGGCCAGAAAAAACATCTTATTGTCCCAGTGGACTCTAAGGGGGATTTGCTTTGAAAGCTAATGTTGATGTCTAAATGCCAGCTCTGGTTAGCTAAGTTAGTTCCTAGTTGTCCTTGAATGAAGCATATTCATCTGTCTGTCCAAGACTCTTCTAGCACAGTTCCTACACTGTAGAAGTTACATCTCTTCCTCTCTCCACCTCCTGTGGCATCTCTGTCGTACTCACAAAACCACTTGTTGGCCCCATTACCAACTCTACAATTAAATTATGCTGGCTTTGGAATAATTGTAGTTTTTAAAATGGCATTGCTCTTACATTTAAGTGGAAACTGTAATTCCCAAGTATTTGACACTTGTTATATTATTGACTTTCATACATAGGTCACTGCTACATCAGTATCACTTGATGCTGAGGCATTTATGTGACTGCTGCTCTGTTATGTTGACTGATAGAGCAGTCCTTGGATGAAGAGCTACACCTTTCATGTCATTATTTCCTATGCAGATGTAGAAATTAGGAAAGGGTTTACCAATTCAACAAATATCCAAATATGTTTTCTAGTTGATAGAAGCCTAGGGAGCTGATTTGTGTTAGTGAGACGGCAAGGGCTATACTAGTCAGGATTGTAGAGCCTGGGGCACAACTTTCAGCATGTACTCAAGGCTGTGGCAGTAAACATTTCCATTAAAACTTCTCATTAATATTCATAATAAATTTTACTTTCATATTTGGGAATTCAAATTTTTCATTCTGGCTGACTCCAACTTTGCATTCCTTCCTTAAGGCTACAGTATCTGCCTTAAGTCTAACTTTAAAAAAACCCAAAAAAAACAGTGTGTGTGTGAGAAAACATATACAAATATGTTTTCTTAAGCCCACCTAAAGCTACTGAAACCAGTGAAAGCAAAGTTTTTGCACTGACTTTGGCACAGTTGCAGTAGTGCCTCAGTGAGTATTGATAAATAAAATGGAACAATGCCAACACTTTAGCCCAGAAAGCAAATGGCAGGGCATAGTTCTTGCTCAAAGAACTGCTTTTCTTAGTTCTCTTTTGCCAAAACAAGCTGCCCCTATCCTTGCTGCCTGTTGGGAAGATTTCCTGGACCATCTGGACCATTGTACAAAAGACTGCTAGAGGATATGGAACAAAACTATGGCAGGGGACAGCGCACTCTGTGGACAGTCCCAGGGCAGAGCACACGCCTGGGCTGGTTCTATCTGAGTTATGATATAGAAATAGTCTGAGGCCCTGGAATCACACCATTACTTTGATATTAAAATAATATATTCTTTAAACTATTCTTCTGGTTTATTTGTGGTTTATAGTAGTATAAACCACAAATAACCAGACTGTGTGGCTGGTTTTGTTTATCTGTTTTTTGTTGCTGTTGTGAGGCTTTTTTTGGGGGTTTATTTTGTTTTGTGGAAATGTAATTTGAATAAACTTTATTTGAAAAGCCTTAATCTTGATTGTACCTCAGAAATAAGATTTTGTATTAATTTCTCCTCATATTATATCTTTAGCAACTCTACTTAAAAAATGGGATTTATAAAAGAAATTGAAGGCAGAATGTAAAACTCTCGATAACAAAAATATAACTTCCATATGGCATAGCAAGGTGCACTATAACATCCTATTTAAGTTCATAGGAATGCTACCAATCAATAAAGATTGAAACTAAGGAATTTTAAATGAATATGATTTTTCAAGTGCTTCTTCATGGCTAAAAATCCATTTTAATCTAAAGTCCCTTATTAAAAGGAGAATTTTTCATTTTATTTATGACCTATAACTCTATAATGATGGCACAAATATACACAAATAAAAGATCATGTCAAAAACTGGGACTAGATTTTTACTGATAAAAATACTCATAGATGTTTTTGTCATTGGTCTTAATGTGATTTACCAGGAAGATGACCTATCTTTTTCAATTTTAATTTCAGTATGAAATGATGCAAAAACTCTTTTGTGATCACTGCTGTATTTTTTACAGTTTCAGATAAGCTGGCATAACTACTCCCTTGAGCAAGGATCAGGAAATCTCTGCAAAACTGCATTGATTTTAAAATTATATTCACCGTGGGTCACAGTGGGACTGAAATAGAAAAATTAATTTTTTTAGAGTATCCAGCTGAGCAATAGTGGTTTATGGTGGGAAAAGGAAGCATGACAGTAGGAAAGGCAGCTTTCACTAGATGTGCGTAGCCCTGTCTCCAGTGATAAAGGCAGTTGAAGAGGCTCCTTCCTTCCTCCACTCCATCTGCTTATTCTCATTTTCACCCTCTGTGGTTCCATGCACAGTCACTGGGTCACACTCTAAAGCAGACTTGCAAAGTGATCTGTTAATGTTTGATGTCAAGGTGGATCATTTTGCTAATATTTATCAGCTTAAGTTGTTGGGAATCCCACAAAAAGAACCCCAACAAAAACCCACCACTATTCTATTGGTCTCTGTAATCTTTGATCCCTACTTAAAATATTTTGTTGTTACCTGCACAGCAATTCTTTTTGAGAGCTTTATCCTGAACAGTATGCAGGAGATATCACTGTGCACTGAAACTCTGCCAGAGCAAACAAAAATTTGAAAGAGATTTTCACCTCCCAAGTGAACTGAGCAATTTGCTGAACTTTGTCCTTGGTCACAGCAATCATTGTGATAGATGCTGTTTTGATTTCATGCCTCAAAGGTCTTAATATTTCAAGTGAAAGACAAAATTAACTGGAATACAAGTAAATGTTAAAAAATACTAGTTCGACACACTATGTGTGTCAGAAAGTGGGCTATGTCTCAAACTCTCTCACTTTTCTAGAAAAGTATAATTTAGGCAACTCCTAAGGGATCCAGAGCAATGGTTATGGTCTGAGAGAATCTGATCAGGCAGACCCAGATATCCAGGCAGGGATGACTTCTCTGATGTTCAGGCACAGCAATTTATCTGTGGTTAACAGCTGAAAGGATCAGATAGGTGCACTATGCAACACTGAGCTGCCTCTTTCAATGTCAGAATAATCCTGCGGCTGCAGTGTGGCAGTTCCTACAGAGAGCCAGGTCCTGCTGCCTTCATTCATACAAAATTGTACTTAGTGTCATGGAAATGCCACAGGGAAATCAGGGAATCAGTCTGTGCAGCCTGGGAGTAGAAGAACTCAGGCTTACTCTGACAAAGTGGAGCATATAGTTAACACCTTATTAACTATATGGTGTCAATGCATGTTGATTCTTTGTTCTATCACTTAATTTCTTCCTTACACTAGAGTAATAGCATTTCTTTCCTTTTTGGAAGAAATCTGGAAGCTGTTCACATTAAATTACATCAGGCAGGTATGTTACTATATTGTACAATGTACTATATTGTACAATTGTATTGACAGTGCCTCATACAATATTATGTTAGATAAACTATTGCATTCCTTTTACACTGTTACTACTTTCATTATGGCTGCAGAGGACATATGCAGATGTAGACATAAACCTAAATTCACAATAGGTCATTGGACAGTCTGAATTTTCAAAAATAACTCTGCTTGCAATATACTGCATTAGATGCTACTGAGCAAATCCATGAAGTTTCAGACCTATCTGAAGAGAAATTGGTCCTTGGTAAAGAATTTAAATTAAAATGAAATTTTAGCCATGACAAACTTCTAGAACCTTCTGAATATATACATTAAACTTATTTTATTTTCTGTAATTATGTCCTAGCAGTGTGAGATTCAAGTGGAATTTATTTGTACTGCACTTTTGCTTTTCACGGGTGTACTTTGGTCCTTGACAGATTTAACTCCATTCTCTCTCCTTCTTCCCTACTACCTTTTTAGGATCTTCGTCTGTTTCCTCCTCATTTTGTTTACCTTTCTTGTCCGATTTAGTTACAGTCTGAAGAGCTTTCTCCTCCTTAACTTTCGTTTTGGCCTTTATTAGCCCAGTTTCTGTTGTTTTTGTCTCTGCCTGTTTGACCTTCTCTGCCGTCTTTGCTTCTCCTTTTCCATCCTTCACTTCCTTTTTAACTTTTGCTTCCACTTTAGTGCTCTTTACTTTCTTCTCCTCTGCAGGTAATAAACAAAAAGCTTTCAGTGTCATTCTCTGCCCCCAACAGAACATTCAGTGCCATTTACTTTATACTGTGTTATTAATAATGAACATTTCTTCATTAATAAGAGCTTGGTAAGATCTGATGAAAACTATAATCCCCTTAAAAGAAGGCAGAATTAAACAGAAATATGAGATCCAAAGAGGTTTTATCTTCAGTGCGATACCACAAACTTGGCTGATGCTAAATATAATAGAATATGGCAAATAATATTAAGTGTTTCTAATATGATAGTTTTTCTGGTATAAACTAGGGAGAAGGATGTTGGACATTAAGCAAACAAATATGGGAGGTACTCTATGTACAAGTTTAGACTTTAGAGTTAAACTCTGTTGTAAACTGGGAAAATAGCATGTGGTTATTTTTAAGGGTTGCTTTCATGAATTGATTCTAGGTCTCAGTCAAGAAGTTTTGAGTTTTTGAGTCTGAACCTACACCAGTTCTTGGGGCTGAAAGTGTCTGAGACCAATTCATGAGATGACCTTCAGCAGAGTGAGGAGGCTTCCAAGAAAAATTACCATTGATACTGTAAATATTAGTAACTGAAGCTACACAGAGCTTGATGAGATGCGAAGCATTCTTTCTGCTTTTATGTGTCAGCAACTTTTTCTCACCTGAGACATACATGCTTCCATTATGTGTGTTTCTAGTTCACCCCAGAGGAAAATCCAATAGTAGTATAAAGTACCACTGGATATGTTTTAAATTACAGTTTAGTGCAAAGTTCATATTCTGTTTTCTTCATCGACCTAAACGTCTCCATCCTTGAGGCAAAACTTTTCTGCTACTAAATTTATGTTTTCTGTAAGGCACTAGACTTCTATTTCTATTAAATAACTGAGATAATTAAACTGATTTTATCAATATGTGAACTGGAATATCTAACTATTGCATACCAGAATTCAGATATTTATATAAGAGCATTACTACTCCCAGACAAAACCAGGCATTGCTGGCTAATGGAGAATTAGTTTCCTTAACTAGTTTTAATGAAAATGTATGTCAGATCACTTGCAGGTAGGCTTAATTGTTTTTCAGTGAAATGGTGGTTCATACTTTTATTTTCAATTCGAAATTTCAACAGATTTTAAAATGGATCAAACATAGAGTTAACTCCTGGATGTTCTACAGACATTTTAATTCTGCTTATATATTTATTTCATTTTAGTTTCATCTAGCTGATTTTTCACACACATTTACAATCTCTGCTTGAATAAAACAAAATTTATGTATTTCAATGTCAATTTATATTAAAAAACTGTAGTATAGATAAATAGATACCTTTGGGAGGAGGTTTCTTTTCAGCTTTTTCATGTCTTTCAGGTACATCCTTTTGAGTTACTAGAAATAAGAAGAACTGTATATTAGGGAAAAATCTCGCAAAGAACAAGAAAATGTTGCCAAACCACAACATAACCACTGTAAATTTCACATTTCCTTGATTCCTGTTTTTCAGGAAATTGTTTTCAGATTCATATATCAGGGTAAAAAAATTCAAAATATCTGTTTAGGCCCCTTTATCAGAAGACAAGTGAGTCACACAGATCTGAAGCTTCCCAGGGAATATTTTTACTACATATTCCAGATGAAACAAACTTGCTCACGTCAAGTGCTGAGTAGACATGGACTTGGCCTTGTGCTCCAGCCAACAGGAAGCCATGTGGCTGTATTTGTCTTACAGAAAGGTGTTTTTCTTAGCTTGGGCTCATTGTCAACAAACACAGCCATAAGTCTGGTGTTCACTTCAGAGCCCAGCTTGAGTGACTTCATGTCTGCATAAGATACACTGTGTAAATACACACACAACTGTGTTTCAGAAAGACTGTTAAAATTTTATGTAGACCTCTATCTTTGCCCTCCTGGTCACCATCCAGACAGAATACCAGAACAAACCAGCCTTGAGAATTAATTACACTTCTTTCAGCTGATAACGACATAAGAGCAACATCCTCTCTAACTGAATTCCATCCTGGAATTCCAGCCTGTACAAGACACAATTGATACTTAGTCTTGGTTTTATTTTTTTAAGATGTTTTTAGATTATGTGTTTAAAAAACATTCATACCACTGAGGCTTTCTGGAGCCTTTATCAGAGTCTGAAGAATTACCTTGAGTCTTTGTAATGAGCATAAAGAAAACCTGATGACTCTGTGAGAAGTAGCCACACAGTTTTCAGTATGTCCATTCCCCAGAGTTGACCAGAACCTGAACATTTTCATTTCCTAGGGACTGCAAGAGGTTGAAACAGTCCCTCAGAACTGCTGGTAGTTAATCCAGTTTAGAGAAGACCCCTGAGAAATGGGAGGTGCCTGGCAATGGAAAGCTCAGCAGCACACTGCTGTCAGAAATGCATCTTTGGACATGCTGAAGAGAACTGTCCTGATGCCCCTATGCCATAGGGGCTCAAGGCAGGGAAACTACCCAAGAGAGGGCAGCATGGCTATGTCACACTGCGGCCACAAAGCTCCACAGCTGCCATGTCCAAATTCTTCATAAAATTTTCCAGCCAGTGACTGGAGTCGTGGCTGTTATTAAACACATTAAGGTTCTGAGTGATTATTTGGTTAGCTGGCAGAAGATAAATGGGTAAAGAGGCTGGCTGCTTATTAAGACTATCTCAGTGATTCTTGGAAGTTATTTGCTTTTCAAATCAACACAGACACTATGGGCATTTATTTTCTCTGGCTTACTTCATCATGATTTCATTTTATGAAAAAAAAATCCCACACTTTCAAGCTATACACTGAAAGTAGAAAAAAATGAACACTATCCCTGTAAAAGAGATATGAGACAATGGCTACCCTCCAAAGATTTATAAGGCTTTAAGTCTTCATTCTACTTTCTTTCTTTTTTTCTTCACTTTTACTTTCTGTTTTACATTTCTCCTATGGTCAAGTTAAAAAAGGGTGATTTGTATATTTGTATCCATATTGTCTGAACATATTCAAATTTAATCTAGTTAATTCATGCATCTCAACATAATGGGATTAATCTCAATGCCATAACAAACTGATACAAATATATGTTGCACACGATTTCTTCAAGAGTCAACCGAGTAAAATAAAAAGACACAAAGACTGAAACTGAACTTCATTATAGAAATAATTTAGATATTTCTCTGCCACAGGGAAATATCTAACCTCAGAGAAAAACATTCAAATGCCAAGCAATGATAAATATAAGTCTTTTAAAAATGGCATAATAGAGCAAGGTGATTGGATTTTTAAATTTCCCTGTCCTAACCATAGCCAAAGATGGAATTATCGGTCAAAAGAATAATGAAAATTACCCCTCACATACCCATGACGTTGCTTCAGAATATATATGATAATTATTAGATATGTAAATCTTAACCAAAGTCACTGCTGCCACAGAAGACAGTGCAAATCATATACTGAAATTAAATGTTATTGAAAAAAAAAATAAAGGCAAGAAAATGAAAGTCTATTTTTGGATATTATGAAAGACCCAGACTGAGAGATAGTAAATACTCTTGTGCTAGTCTACATCAGATTGAAAACTAATACATAAGAGAAACCTTCTTTGCAGGTAGATTACTAAATCCCTTTGTGGAGAAAAAGGCCTCAGGGAATGCAAAGAAAATAGTCATAGGTTTCTTTCTTTAGCTGCATAAGAATGATTTGTAATAAACTCTGTGCATCAGAACAGGAGAGTAAAGCAAAGAAAAATATGCTGAGCAAGACTTAGGCTGATCAAGACCTACTCAAGCAAAAGAGACAACATCCAAAAAATGTTCAATATGAGCTAGAAGAGCTTTGTACTTAAAATACTTATCTCCACACTCTCCCAAGATTTCAAGTATTTAAATTGTACAACTCTTGATGATGATCCTCAATACCTTTAGATGGTGCTTTCTTTTCATGTTTTTCTGGCTTTTCAGGTTTATCTTTGTGAACAGCTAGAAATAAAACCAATAATTTTAATGGTCATTAAAAAAAAAAATTAAATGAGAAAAATGATCAAGAAACACATTCTTGCATGCAAAGAATGAGAAAGATTGATTCGGCTGCGGCTGTTTGTTGTTGATGTCAAAACAAGGGATGGGAACTTTCAAAATCTTATCTGCCATCACTGAGGTTTTTGCCATTGGTGGGAGGAGTAGCATTCTTTCTAGCTCCAGTGTAATCCCATGAAATAAGATAGTCAAGAAGAGTCATACTTATTTATATTGGTTTTTTTTCTTTCTTTAATATATTTATATCCTGTAATTTATTGATTTATTTTGGTTTATTGTTATTTTTCAGCTTTCTCATTTATTACTTTGGTTAATTGCTGAAGGATTTTCTGAACTCCACAGAACAACTAACAGTTTTTCCAGCTATGAATGATTAAGCACTATAATTAATTACAAATCTAATTGCAGTGACATTATAACTAATGTTCTTTGGGGCTTTTTGCTTGCTTTTAATTTCCACCTTACAAATTGAAATTAACTGCTCTGTAGTTCCTAGATTTCTGACTCAGGTTTGAGAATACACCCAAGTTGTGCAGTAGTCACTGAGGGGTGGGTAATCTGAAATATTTGCCTGTGTGGGCTCTGATTTGCTAATTTTTGGAAATTAATGTGTGCACAAGAACTTGTCCATGGATGTACAGAACAGATATATGCATGGACTGATGTGCCCTGAGGTGACCTACAGGATTTATGGATGTGAAAACACGCAGTTCCCTATTTGAGTACAATGTATGAGATTATCCTAGGAACACAAAAATGCAGGCATGAGCATGGAGCTGGTGTTTAAAAGAAAGTAAGATTTGGGGAAGATAAAATAGTACTTGATACCTCTTTATTGCAAGTAACTACTGAAAGAATTAGTTCTGGCTTACTCAATGTCTATGTAACGGCCCTGTGCAGTATTTTATTTAAAATGCTTTTTTTTCCACATGGCCTTCCTGCTTACCTCTGTGAAAGGGCTGTCAGATGTCTTTTTCTGGGATGACCATAGTGTCTTAGCAACCATTCTTATTACAAGTGTTGGAAATACTCAGTGATTATCACGAGATTATACTAATCGAGAGTACAAAATATATTATCTCCCTTCCCAGAAAAAAAACCAAACCAACAAAAAACAATCAGAAGGAACATTAAATGCTACTGTGTAAGACTGCAAATTTTTTATGATTTCATTATTTTTATTAATAATATTTCACAACTATTTTTTATCCAATGAAAGGTGTGCATAAATGGAAATTGAGTAGAGAATTAGCTTTTGGGTACCTTCTAATATAAAATAAATTCTGACATTAAATAATTACCTGCATGCCTTTCCTTTTTTTCAGGTTTTTCTTGTCTTTCCGGTTTGTCTTTACTTGTTACTAGGAAAGAAAGAAGGCGTTATATGTATCCAAAAGAAAAAAAAGAAAAAAAAAGTAGAAAAATTAAGAATTCAAAACAATTTCATCAAGATAAGCCTTAGGATGCTAAGTGGCAGAGTGTGTTACTGCTGAGCTGCCCTGTGCATATTTTTACAGTGTACCTCATACTACAGGCGTGTAAGCAGCCAGCTCTGGCTAACGAGTTACTGCCATGGTAACATGCCTCAGCTGTTTGCTGCATAACATCATCTCTTGCAATTGTCTGTCAATTCCTGCAGAATCCAAGAAAACTCTTGGTTACTAAGGCACAGCTCACAGTAAATGCAGCTACCTGTGAAAGGAAGAGGGCTTCACCTTGACCACCCCATACTCTGTAAGACACAGGTTGTAAAACCCTGGAATCAGGCTCGGAGCATAAGAGAATCCCATGTGCAAATGATACATCTGTGACTTGCCAGCTGGCTTGAAATGGGTAACCAGTAATGGATATGGATGGTTAGTAATGGATACAGATACAGTCATGGACACTAGCTGAGATCAGTCCCTGGCAATGACGGTCCCAGAACCATAATTAGATACCCAGTATGTGCGAAGTAAAACTAACATTATGACAGTGGAAACTGCATTATGCTATCCACTCAATCACAGAACATTTTCCACTTGCTTTTCTTAGGATTTTACACGTGTTGTTCCAGAAAATTAAAAAGAAACGTGCGGGTTTTAGAGCACTTCTGAAAGAACAGCTGTGAAAATGCAAGACTAGCTTAAGTCTAACTCCTGTGGAGATTTCATCCAAGTTTAGTAAAACTCCTTTTGTCTAACATGGGGTGATAAGAAACTTTTTTTACAGTATATGAATTCCATATGTAACTGGATGCAAAAGATGAGTGGTAGGCAATATTCAGGCTTCTACATTTTTAAGCAATATAGTGATGAAATACATGAGAATATGGCTGACATCTCTGCTAAGTGGCACTGAGACACTTCTAATTACTCTCTGTGTCATTAAATAACTTTCTTAAACTTCATTCCAGAAGTTGATTATAGATTAGAATAGGATGCTATTTATATTCTCCATTATCTCGATCTTGAAAAGGCACTGTATTTAATGTAGACAATAAGCAGCAAAAATACAGGGATGCAGTCTCTAGTCTCCCAGTCACACTATAATGAAATGGACCTTAAAAAGACACATATTCATAGTCTTAGTTTTGAAATTTAACGTACAGTCTGAAAGTAATGTTTATTAGCACTGTGAATAGAGAGAATCTCTATACACAGTAGTGCTTCCATAGCAATTTTGACAATAGTTCACAAAATAAAACTAAGAGTTGACTTCAAGAAAAAATACCACTAGGTAGACAGAATATTAATAGGATTTATGGCAAGCTAAGAAAGTATAATTGTAATTTTTTTCAGTGGTTATCTGAGTTTGTCTGGGATAATTTTTTCCTTGTTCTAAGAAACTTAATAAAACAGTAAATATTGTTCTCCTGTGAAATCAAGTTGAAGAGTTCCACAGGTTCACACTATAACAGAAGTCTTAAAAATAAATTCATGTTTTAATATGGGACATTATTTCCTTTGCTTTGTCATTTTTCCAAACCACAGAAAAAATTTCCCATGTTATCACCATTCTGTTTTCTACTAATAAATATTCATTCTAACAGGCACCTCAAATTTTATGCTTGCCATTAACTTCTAAAATCAGTCTTATTAGCTCAAGGCACTTTGAATTACTTATATGAAATGGAAAAGCTCCAATCGAGACAGTTAGAAAAGCCTAGTCAATCACAGCTTTCAGGAGGTTCACCTGCACTTGTGTTCTTGGCCTGAATAAGTGTGATGTGGCTGGATGTTAGTTCTTCCCTTTTCTTGTTTTGGTAATTTACTATGGTCATTGGCCTTCTTGCTCTTCCAGAATGTTTTTCTTCCTCCAGCCCAAGAGAGTTCATTAACCATAAGTCAGCACAAAAGATGTGTTCTCAGAAGAATTAAAAGTTTTGACAAATAGGTGCACTCTACCAAAATTCGAATTTGCTAAAATATCCTCATGAAAGGAAATTGTGGCTTTTGTAACTGAGAGCTAACTCATGAGACTCATGAGCTGTGGGTGGAGAGTAAGCAGTATCCTGATTCTGACTCCTACAACAGATCTGTAATTTGTTGCTGGCATACACCACTAGGAAATTATAAAATTCTCTCTAAAGCTGCTCCGCAGTGTCTCTGAAAATCTGGAGGAATTTATTTTTATTTTTTTTTCTCTGTTATTTTTTTTAGCAGATTTCCATAGCGGAATGTCTACAGGAACCATTTCCAGTATGTTATAATTTACTAATTGCATTTTGGTGTGAAGCATTCTCAAGAGCAAATAATATGCTTGGATTTATTAAAGAATAAAAAGAACCCCCTATTTGTGTTCTGGGCATTTTTTACATAACTTACTAGTGCAATAAAGAATTATTTATTAATATTTGAATATAATTTCAGCTTTTCTGTACATTGACGAATTCAAATTGCTTTTAAAAACCTCATTCTCCTTCCAGCTGGCTTTCACAACACCTCCTCCATCCTTAAATATTATTGGGATCTACAAGAACAGTATAAGTGTCAATAGATTAGACTATTTTGAATCACTGATAAAAAGGCAAGGAATATCAAAAGCTGAATACATACCCTTTGGGGGTTCCTTCTTCTCAATTTTTTCTTGTTTTTCAGGTTTGTCTCTGTGTGTTGCTACAAATAATAAACAAATAAATAAACTCCAGCTCACAATAAATCTGTAATCTAGATGTATTAAGCACGCTTATTATCTCATGAACGTGACCAAGGAAAAGCATTCATAAACCCAAATAATGGATTTGAGCTCTGAGTTGGAGGTACTTCATGATGTGTAGACCTTCTGAATATCAACATTTAATTCCAGGTCCAAGAGAAATATTTTCCTTGAATAAAACTTCAGATATCAGAATAAATTTTTCTGAAAGTGATTATTCAGCAACCTCAATCTAATCTGTCCTTTCTCTTTTGGTCCCATTACACAACCACTCTGACTCTAAGATTTCTGACAGAGGAAATTATTTTCAGCCCTTGACAGCGTTGCTTTCTATTCTTAACAAAAAACCGGCCAGCATACTGCTTTCTATGCTATTTTGTTCTTTATTTTTAGCTGTCACTTCCGTCACAGGATGGATTAACAAGAAAACATCTCTTTTAATCAGAGTGTAACCTCAGGAAGAGCAGCTGTTCAAAACACAACCGACTCCATGCCCTGCAAGAGGCAGGCAAACACAAGTCCTTACAGACTCTCTTGCCCACATAGGTCTCAGACCATGTTATGAAGGGGTTCAATCCCACATGCTAATGATATTATTCTTAGTAAACCCATACTACTAAAAGACTAGCATTTTGTAATTTCAGGGAAATATTAATTTATTTGCTGTACCCAGGCTTCTGGGAAAAAGCAAAACAAATTCTGATTAAAAGACAGTGAGCTTTATAAACAAGCACATTATGCTTTTTGTATCCATTCCTTTCACCAGCTTTGCAGTGAATGACATTTCACAAAAGTGCAAGCACTTTTTTGTTTTCTGAGTGTTTACACATTAAAAAGCAGGTTGTAGTCATTAAGAAAAATCATTCAGAACATTTGGTAAATTCATTATGGTTTATATGTGTTTGGATTATCCAAAACCCATTTTCAGCCGCAACAAGTAAATTATTGTGATAACAAACAGCCGTACTGAGCAGAGATATTTCAAAAGACTGAGCAGAGACATTTCAAAGCCTTTAAAGAATGTGGACAGCAAATTTACACTAAAAAAAGCAGGCTGTGAAGGAAACAGCAGCACCAGCAATGTATTATTGAATGAATTACAGACTGCAACTCATTCAGATGCTTTAGCACATCTAGGAGCATACCAAGAAAAAATCATTCTCCCAGCTGAGTATTTTTTGCAGAAATTGTAGCATGCTTTACATCTTGCATTTGTATTAGCAGATGCTGTCTCCGTGCAAAACACTTTTATCAGTTTTGGCTGGACCAACAGTAGAGTTTTGCAAACAATGGCTCTGAGATGGTCAATGTAAGTGAAACATGAGCTTCTGCACATTCAGACAAAAGCTCTTGTAGTCTCGATGCCAAAAAATACAGCTGAACTATACAGGACAGATTGATAATCAGAAAGCTTTTTTTTTTTTTTTTTTTTATCCACAGGGCATCTTACTTGTGTAAGAGGGATTGTCGTGTACTTTAAAAATTTATTGTAGTTTTTCAATAATATTTCCTTATTTCATGATTTGAGAAAAAAAAACCCAAAAACACACAACAACAGGAAAACAAACAAAAAACCCCCGAAAGAAATCAAAACAAACAAAACCCATACCCACACAGCAAACCCATAAAATGAACCTTGATCAACACTAACTGAATTAAATGTCAGCAGACCTGAAAGTGGACCAAAAATATCTAATTTAAATTTGTTTCACATCCTCAAAATTATGCAAACAGCAAAAATACAAGGAAGTACTAATATCTGTGTGGATTACATCTTAAAACATGAAGAAGGGATCAGCTGGCCCCTTCTTGAGAAAGAAAAGTAACTTGATGTATCTGGGCAGGGAGCCTGGAATGTGGATAAGCAGAGACCAGGCTGGCATAAGCATAAGCTATTTTTCTCTTCCCAATTATAGGCTGAAGGTGATCTCTGGTTAGTTTGAGAGTGTTATCCTGTGTGTTGATATCCCCAGAGACTCAGAGGTTGCTAATCTCAGATTGTAATGTTTATCATTACCTCTTATGGGCACTGTCAGAGCTATGGCTTCCCTTATTTGGGAAGGGCAGGTGCTGCCAAAATTCAAAGTGTTCATGTTTCAGGGCTGTGATCACTGGCCATTTTTGACTCTTCAGTCACAAGACCAACAAAATGCACTGAAGCTTTTGTTCTAACAAATCTAAATCTTATATTTCTTAACATATTAACTCTCCCCCAAAATATTTTCATGTTCAACTTCATATGTAGTTATAAAAGCTCTATAATATAAAATACATCACTGCCTACAGATCTTTTCCATATTTTGCCACTTGGATATATTTTTCTTCTTCAAATGCCCTTTCTTCTTCTACATGCCCTTTCTCAAGACCACAATTCTAGGGGCAAGTATTCAATTTTAGAATTAACTAGTATGGCCATACTGCCATGTTTCTGTTAAAAAAAAAAAAAAATTAGAGTTTATTGGATTTTCTATTCCATATTAGAAAAAAAAAAAAAAGGTAAAAAAGAGCACAAGCATGCAAAAGTGTAAAGTGTTTTTAAGGCTACTTACTTGTCAGCTGAAAAATGCTGAAATTAAAACTCTTCATTCAATTTGAATTCAACCATTTTATTAGCCTTATGATATGTTTTGTAATTAAAAGATCACCTATTTTATTACTTTTCATACTAGGATGCTGGTGACATCCATAAGGGAAAATAATAACTACACTTAAAAACAAGTAGATTTATGACAATTGTGGAAGGTAAAATTTTTCCACAAATTAAAAGAAATTTTCTTGGACTTCCTTGCAAGCACCAAAAAGTCATAGGCTCAGAGTGGAGTGTTATTAACATTGGAAAAAAAATATAACACCCCAACCTAATTTTCACTAACCTAGATTTTGGAAATTGCTGAAACATTTTTGCATGCCTTTGAATGAAAATTCAGCCTGAGGCAAAATGATGAACGTGGGAAATCTCATCCTAAGTGACTGGAATGTGATAAATTTATAAATAATCTAAAATAGAATCATATAATGGAAAATTTTAAGGAAATTTAACAATGTATTTCAGACTTAATATTTCTATCTACTTCACAGAAAAATAAAAGTAAGAATATTGCTATCTACTTCACAGAAAAAATAAAAATAAGAAGCATCACATATATGTGGGAGGATTTTCCTAATTTCAATCATAATCACAGATTTTATTTTCATCAAATTGAAGACATAGTGAAGGGGGACATGATTTGGTTTTTCTTGGATAAAGTTCTCCAACACAGATATTCCACCTTCCAAAACAAAAAGAGAGAAAAGAAGAGGTGTAGTAAGGCACTACTTCTGTACCTAAGAGAAGCAAAAATAGTTTCTAGCTGAGTAAGTCTTAAGTCTGCTGCTTAGTACAAAGCCAGGTGATGAGTGCAGTAAGCATGAAGCAGAGATTGCTTGCTCCAGCTAACAGACTAAGTGCTTGTCTACAGAGCAGCACTCTCAGGAAAGTTAAGATAAATGAACTAATACAATGAAGTTTGAGTGCATTAGTCAGAGAGCGTTAAATCTCTGCCCAGATGCTTTCATTTGGAAGCAAAGCAACTTTAGAGGGCTACAACTTAATTCTTCCTGAAGGAACACTGTAAAAAAAGGGGTTGGTCTGGAGAGTGGCATAGACTGCCAAGTCCAAATACATAATTTAAGGGAACTACAGCTATGTTTCCATCTGTACCATGTTCTCCAGTTTAAAGCTAATGCAGGCATAGCTGTAGCTGTACCCTGAGAAATCAGGCTAGACAATTTGTCTGTGTATGAAATATGCCTTTAATTTATTAACTTGGAGAAATTACGTGGGGTTCTAGAACACTAGGATTTGTATGGTCTAGCTCTATTTATATATTTAGCTGTCTCAAATACTTTGTCTTCCAGCTACAGCAAATTATCCATCATTACATTGTTTTCTTCCATGCCTCATTCCAACTGCAATGTATTAGTGAAGTGATTTTGGGAAAAGCCACGCAGTAAATAAATGTTTTCCCATTCCTTCTCAATTTCTGTTTTAATTAGAGCTATTTCCCAGAAAGGCAGGGCAATTCATTTCACTGGTGACATCAGTTTTCCATCAAAATCAAAAATTGTCATTGGACCTTCCATTAGACAAAACTTTTGTATTTAAATATACATAATCTCCACACTTTTTAGTATTGTTCTTATTGTCAAAAAATGCATAATTAACTCTTATTGGTAGTAATAGTAATAACAGTTATATTGCCTATTTCTTAAACAGGCTCCAGCAGTGACTCAGAGTCCTGCAAAATCTATCTAGATCACAGTATCTACATGCTCAGGACAGTTGTGTACAGAAAGATAATCCATCCCTTGTGCTGCTGCTGGCTGATGAAGCTCCTGGTCATGCAGTCCAAGTGCCACTCCACTTGTGAAATTACTAATACCTCAAAAACCAAATTGGAAAGACCTTAATTTGTAGTGAACATGTACTTGTATGCACATGTTATCATGAAATAATTTGATTTCAGGGCTCTTAAGCATGACCAATAGCTTTGTGAAATTATTTCTCACAGTATTTTTTCTTTCCAGGATTAAATTTGTTACAATAATTGAAATGGACATTATTGCTAGTAGTTTATCAAAATATTTAATTAAAAGCAAATTTTAGGGCACAAGTTTGCCTGGTTCTCAATACTGTTTGAATCTTTTAATTTCAGTCACTTCCATCTGGGATTTTTCTTCATTATAACCGTTCCTCATATTTCACTTCAATCTTTCAAAAATTAGGCTTATAAACTGAACTCCCTTGCAAACTGTGGGACTTGTACTCGGAGGATTTGACTATTCAAAAAATATAATTAAATTACTTTTAAAACTCTAGTGTTCCCACATGTTGGGCAAAAGACAGAAAAGTGTATTTTCCATTTCCTGCTATTAAAAATATTCATTTTACTTCTGGATTTTTTTCTGTTAAAAACAATAAAAGACTGCATTTGTACATATTTCCTGAAAAGTACTTTAGGAGGTAGTAGTAAAATTCCCTAAGGATTCACACCTTTATTACACTGTAGACAGAGTCCAGACAGAAAGATTTCTTGTCATTGCTCCTCCTATGTACAAGTTGCATTGTTGGGATAAAACGTGAAAACAAAATAGAGAAAAAAAAATTGTGCTTCAGCAATTGATTGCATAACTAGAGACTGCATTATCAGGCACATAAATAATGGAATTTAACTCATGGCACCTGAACACTTTTTTTTTCTGGCATCTTACAATTTCTTTGTAATAATTTCTGCAATGTTCATATTGTTTTATGTAAAGAAATGCACTTTTGTATAGATGAAATAGTACACAAAAGGCTGTTTTGGTCAAGATTGCAACATCATTTGTGTTTTTAGATTATTTTGCTTGAAAACACCTTAACTGGGATCCTTGCTAATGAATCTGAGTTTATTATTGCCTGGCTTGCCCATTGGTAGCCTAAAAATTTCATTTTTATAAAACATGGCTTATTAAGTAGGTGGGAAACAGTTCTAGGCAGTCCGGATGACCCTGATTAGCACAAAACTGGAGCTGAAAAATACTATAAAAACATTTTACAGAGGTGTAAAATACTATAAAAGCACACTAAGAATACATATAGAAATGAATATAATTGCATGAGGGACGGTGTACGTGTATACACAATATTTTTAATAAGCCTCCTTCTTGCTTCCTCCTACCACTATCAAGCTGAGCACTGGTGTGTTAGAGGGAGGCTCATGAAATTTTATGTGGCCCAGCCTTTATGGAGGAGCTCTGTTAGGCAAATAAAACCTTCAGATATCCCAGAAAACACTTTTTTTTTATATGGCCTCTGAAAACCAGTCCAAACCAGTTCCTCTGTGCATTTTTGGAAAGTGCCAGTTATAGGAGATTAAACAGTCTGAAAAAGAGCAGGTTCTTAAAGTGGAAGTTTTTCTTATCTCTGATACACACCTGGCTCACTCTTAGCTATGACTTCCTAACTTGGATGGCACCCAGTGGCCTATAAATTTGCTTTTTTTCCTTGCCCAACACACTTCATGCCTTTTGCACCAGAGGAAGTTCATCAACACTCAACTTTCTTGCACCTTTGGTAGAAAAAAAGATTTCTGGAGAACTTTGGGCAGGAGAATCTTATTATGAATGTGCATTTTCAATCTAGCTACACAAGCATAAAATTACATTTTTTTTTGTTAATGCTACGGTATACAAGAATTTTTGATCATTTGCAGTCTCATGTGCCAACTGATCTTTAAATGCTTCTATGATACAAGAGCAGTAGTTAACCAAGTTAAGAAATAAAAATTATGTAGTTAACAAAGACACTGTATGTTACACAAATATATGTGTGAAAACAGAAAAAAACAATCAGTTACCCTTCACTGGTGCTCGTTTGTCAGGTCTCTCTGTTTTCTGTTTTTGAATTTCTGAAGAAAAAAAATGCAATGCAGATTTGTAAATATTAAAAAAAATTAAAATAATTTTTCACACACAGAAATATCAGATGCATTCTCATATTAAAAAAATAATTAAAAGTGCTTAAAATATTATGGCTGCATCATGACTTTATCACCTGCATAGTCAGAGTTATATACACTATAGTTTAATTTTATATATATAGGCACTATATATTGATAAAAATCACAATATCAAGTGTCTTTAATAATTATTCTGTTTTTAATTGATCCATACAACTACTTTTAAAGGCAAGAATAGGTTTTGCTGATCTGTATAACTGGAGCAGTTATACAGTAACACATTGGTCATGATTCAGAAAAACATGATTTACTAAACATTTTTTTGTATTTATTTTGAGTGGTTTACCAAGATTAGTATTCTATGTTTTCCAAATTACCTTTGGAAGGAAAAAATGTTCTTTTCACTACATCTTCTAAAAATTTTAAAGCTTGTATACTGAATTGGTATCTCCAACACACAATAAAGGTAGACTCAATGCTCTATACAAACTACAGAGATAAAAATTTCCCAGGTTAGGGTTTGTGGTCTTGGAGAATGACCCACTTGATCATGCTGTACACCAAAAAACTGAGAACTGTGATCTTAGGGTAGGAAGGGATACAGTATTTATCTGCCCTTGTTATGCCATTCCATTTGAACGAAAATTTTCAGTTGTAATATTGATATTAAATTACTGCTATATACCTCCATATAAATCTTTTTCCTACTGTCCTTATTGTGTCAAAACTAGGATAATATAAAAAAAAGTAAAATGTTGAATTTTTAAAAAAGCAAACCAGAATTAAGTCAAATGTGCATAGCCCTCTTTGCACACAGCTGTAGAAATTTAAGAAGCATTTATTATAGCTGTGTAATAAAGTCATTAGGACTATGCAGAGTGCCTGGGTTATCATATTGTGCACATATTTCCTGCAGTAGGAAACCGCTCTAAAATGAAATTTGTATGAAATTTGTTTTTGACAAAAGCAAATGCAAATCTCTCTAGACTCTGTGGGAGATGCCTTCTTGTGTTTCAGTGTTACCTGTGGTCTGCAGGGTCTAAATAGCAGGAGCACTGACCCCAGAATTAATCCAACAGAGGAAAAGATATGCATATTGCATCTCAAGTCTAAGAAGCTACTCTAGTGTCTATTGAAGACAAATGTTTCAGTTACAACATTAGTAATTTTCTCAGGGTACACATTGTCAAAGTAATCCAGTAGGAAATGGAATTTTCCCTCCCCAGATATTTACATAAGTCCTTGAAAAGAATGAAGAATGACTTTATTGTATGGTTTTTGGTATCTGAAATAATTATTGTGTGTGGTTTGCAAAAAAAATAACTATTCTATGACATCAGGCTATGTTGTCTTCAGATAGAATATTATTTCACTTTGATAAAGAGTAACAAAGTAAAATATGTCACTGTGAACCACTAATGTATGGAAACATAACTAAGAAAATTATATGATGTCATTAGGCTAAAAGAAATTTTTATTCACTTCTCATCAGTCTGGATGTGCAGTTCATTTTTAGTTCTATGAACCTCAAAGGGTGAGAATAGGAAGAAATATACTCTACTGATTTACAGTTTTTCAGCTGAGCCCAGATTATTTTTCTTTCAAATATGTGAGGGTATTTTATTTCTATTGACTGAGAGAATCCTGTTGCTGGATTTTCAAACGTTTCCCACTTGTTTTGCTTAAATAGCTACATGGTTTAGTTTAGGTAGCATAAGTGGTAGGAATAGTGCAGGACAGGAACAGATGGAAGATTGCTCCCTAATTCTGGGCACATCTGAGCAGTTTTCCATGCCACTGTTCCAGACTGCCTCCAAACACTGACTCAGGGGACATAATGAAAGCTGAGTCACTTCCTCTGCATTGCAACATTCAGTGGAGACATATCTCACCCAGTTCAACCAGTCACCCTACATACAGAGATGAATATGAATAAATCATGTTCTTCAGGCAGAGTCACATCGATACATATTCCTTGCTTGCTTTAAAATGCCTCATTCTGCTGCATTTCTACCATATATTACATATCTCACTACAGAAAACAGGCCTATTTTTCTTGAAAAAATAAGTATCATTAAGAATAATCTTTGTTATTTCAAAAAAAAAGTTTTAAAATTACTTTTGATTTAAAGAAATTACTGCTAGTTTAACTGCAAAATACCCGTGGAGCAATGGCTCTAGAGCTGGTTATTTAAATCAGGTTCACACTGTATCAGCAGTGGCACTTGCTTCAAAGAAATATTCCACTAAGTTGCACAAAAAGTTACCTTTTTAGACACCACACTGAGAATCTCATCAAATTTTCTGCTACAATTAGAATACCACACATCACAAAGAAACATACACAAATTCCTAGAAGTGAAGTACATTTTCTTAAGGCACAAGTGTGTGTATATATGCTTTTACACGCTGCAAAGTGTCCCATCATTATGGTCTCTTCACAAACTTCCCACTACAGCTTGAATCATCATAAAAATTGCAGCCTGGTTCAGACAGATTCTGACACATTACATTGTAAACTTTCCCAGTACAAATAAATCTAATCTTAATTTAAGCTAAACTGAATCAATTTACAAAAGAGAAAATAGTAACTATTGTTAACTTCAAAGTATTTAAAATCAGGAAACACATTAGATTATTGGAAACTTTTTGTTGTTGCTTTATGAGAGTTCTGATACTCTCTGTTTCATCTTTTATGACAAATAGCTTTAATTTTGTACTAATCACATCATATCTTATTGCTGAGTTGACAAAGTGGTTGTAATATCACAGAAGACTTACATGGCCAGTTTAAAGCATATAATTCATCTCTATCAATGTGACACATTGTTAATAAATCCTAAATATTACAAATTCATGTTTAGAAAAATGACAGAATCAAGCAGCAGCAAGGATAATCTTTGTCACCACAGCAACCCTTCGGATTCTTTATGAGATGACAGCACAGTTTATTAAATTATTGTAAAGGAGTATGTATTTTAAAAGCCATATTTCATTGTTTGTTTTCTTAAATTATTAGGCAGACATGAAAAATTATCTTTCCCCTTGCATTGCTTGGGTTTTGAATAGATAATTATTTCCTTAAATATGGACACTGCTTGATGCTAATTTCTCTAGAGCTCAGGTCTTGTGCAGATATACAGAACATACAGGGTGATTATTTTAAATAGGTCCAAGAAAGAAAGCTAGGAATCTTCTCAGTGACTATTTCAAGATGCTGAAAGGAGACAAACTCAACTACATTGCTGTCAGGCTGATTTTTCTATGTCCTGTTGACCCAAAACAGACCTTACCAGTCAGCTGAGGATCAGTATTGCAGGAAGTTTTACTGGAAGCCCCTGCTGAACAAGAGAGTCTGGGCAGCAGCTTCCCCACCCCTCACACAGCTAATTTTCATTAACAGCATTTGACAGTGTCTAACGAGAGCACAGCACTGGCTGTGCACTCTGCCTCCAAGAAGGCCAGGATGGGAGAAAATAATTTCAGTCCCTTGAATCTGTGTGAACTAATGGGTCAGCCCTGTGCAGGTTTACATCAGTGTGAATGAAGAGCACAGCCTCTCATGCTAGGGCATGAGGAGATTCTCCTGGCTCCTGGTTCCCTTCTTTGTCTGCCTTTGTGTTTCTGATTTTGATTTTTTGTTATGTCCTTTTTTATAACATAGTAACTTGGATAGCATTATTCTCAGCTATTTTAATTTTATTGTGTTAGAATAGCATTTATGAGCCTTAACCTACATGAATTGCTTTAGGTACCACATGGAGCTATGACATGATATAAATATCTCTGTAACACAGGAGTTCAAACTTAGAGGGATGACTTTCTTTTACTGGGAAAGCACAGCCTTGCATCTTGCTTCATTAGAGGATAAAATGGTGAGTAGCATTCTGGCGTTGTTGAAATAGCACCTACACCTCACCCTTCACTGAGTTTCCATCTAACAGATGAAATATACCTTTAAAAAGATCCCCACAACCATATTAAAAATGTCCATGATACAAGAGACAAAGTGAGGAAAAAAAAGAGTCCCCATTTGAAACACAAGAATGCTTTACCCAAGGTAACCCAGAAAGTCAGCAAAAGAATTGGGGATTTACCTCTGAACCTGACATTCAACATTACAATCCATGCTTAAAGCCAGCCTGTTTCTACTTAAATACTGCAGTGAAGAAAGAATGTAGTTCTAATATATCTAGTGTTTTAAAGGAATAATTAAGCAGATGGAATTTTATATGAAATGAGAATAGATTTTTTTCTTTAAAAATTTTACCAGCTGATCATCTTTTTCATCAGCTGTTACAGGTAACACAGCCATATACACCTACAGTACTTTGACATTCTGTTTACAAAAGAGATGACAAATATCTAAACATGAAAAGGAAAATTAGTCCAACTCAGAGTCTCATGAGCCAGAGGTTAATAATTTGCTTTTGAGCAGTTAAAATCCTTACAGATATTGCCAGCAATTTAGTGAGGCTATATCCTTGCTAGTTTATCAGGACTAATTGGTAGAAGGAAGCTGATTATCCTGAAGAGTTGGTGGAAACAGATCCTGAGGGCAAGGCCAGAGTGAGCGGTGTTAAGAGCTTTAGAAGATGGGAGAGATGTAATTTCTAATGTGTTTTTAGATGTTGTCTGTGTGAAGAATTGTAGTCAACTTTCTTGCTGTTGGTATCCTCAGGAGAAATTTGCAATTGTGCAGCTGATGTCTATTTTTAATCTAGATAGTACCAGCTGGTGAGGGTGACAGTTATCCTTGCGGGGCTACAAGGAGAAGAAAGGAAGCTGTGCATTAGAACAACTTCTATCTGACTACTAATACATCAAGGAGGTGTAGTCTACAGGCAAAAACACCCACAGAAAAACCAAAAAGCACCTTGCAAAAGGAAAAAAAGTGCAAAAAAATTTTTATTATTATTATTGTTATTAGTCTTAAGAGTTTTATTTTC